AAGATTCCATGGTTCACTTGGAGTGCTTGAAGAAACACTTACTGTAAAATAATTTAGTTACCTTATCCCCACACTTTAACTCTTATAGATACACAGGGTACACTACTGGTTTTCTATCCTGTAAGAGAAGCTCCTGGCTTCCTATCCATCACTGTCCCTCTGCTCCAAAAGTGGATGAGGAGTCACTGAAATCCTATCAGGCCACAAGAGAAAGGGATGAGGTTGCCTAGGGAGAGCTGCTCAGCTTGTGAGAGAACTTGTAGCCCTCACTGTCTCCTGATCTGAGAACCTGAATGAACAACAGATGTCCCACCATCTCTTCCAGACCATGAAGAAATGTACAGATGGCAGACAACCATTTCCCTAAAGGAAGCCTGCTGGACAACAAAGCAGAGGTCAGGTGTCCTGGAATTTAAATCCTTGACTTCCCTCATTGCTGTCTCCCCCATGTTGTTAATTTTAGATTCATCACTTGATCTATAATCTCCTTACATGGGATTAACTCCAAATAGGGTCAATGTTAGATTGTTTACTAATACTGTCTCCCTTTCTGCTAGTGTCTTAAACTTGTGGCCAAACAGTTTTCCCAGATTTTAAACAAAATTAGAGCAAATAAATAATGACTGGGAGTAAAATACTTTTCCTTAAAACCCATGGAGTAGCAGACTGAAGAAGGAATCTAGAAGGTGGTAAATACAACTAAATGTGGCCCACATTGTTTATCTGGACCTACAGCCCAGAGAAGTAGGAACTTCTTTCAATCTGGTGTCCAGCCAGGCTGGTGTTTTATAATTATAGGAGTAAATTCAACACCTGCATGTGCTCTTTATTATGACTAATAACAGTAATGGCACATAATGTCTGAACTTATCAGAGTCAGGCACTGTCCTAAAAATTTTCTGTGTTTTTCATTTAATCAAGACAACACCCCTATGGTATAAGAACTATTTTTATTCCCAAACTATAGCTGAGAAAAATCAGGCTTAGAAAAATTAATCTGCCCAATTATTGCTTGGATTCAAACCAGTATGGGTAATTCCTTTGCCCGTTATCTCTCTATAACCTGCCCATTGTGGTAACCTCTAACCTCACACATGTACTGAGCACCTGATAAGTGGCTAAGCAATAGGAATTTTCTTTATTTGTTTGTTGTGTTTTACATTACTGCAGATGAAACCCAGAACCTTCATGCTGAGCCATATCCTCAACATTCTTCTTGTTTTTATTTTGAGACAAGGTCTTGCCAAGTCACTAAGTTGCCCAGGCCAGGCTCAAACGTGCAGTCTTCCTGCCTCAGTCCCTCAAGAATTCTCTGATTACAAACATGCACCACTATAGCAGGCTTGGATTTTTAAAAATTAATTTCAGTAGTGTGCATAGCTAATTCCTATAGCATTGGAAAGTAGAGCTCTAGAGTATGAGAACTAAACGCAAACAGGACTTACGATCATATTCATAAGTCTTAATATAACAGATAATTTTAACTACAAGAGACTGACAATAAGTACACAGAGAGCCTGTTTGGCATAAGAGCATCTAAGATAGGTCCTATTTTGGTTTGACATGCAGCTCTACAAAAAATTAGCCATGTGATGCAGCCCATGATTTAATCTCTAAGTTCCTCAACTATACAAAGGACTAAATATACCTTTACCATAGGGCTATTATGAGAATTCAGTAAGATAAAAGTATTAGGGTTCTTAATGAAATTGCTTAAATGTACTAAGTACTAAATAAATGGGCTAATAATAACAACTAAATTACCACTGTTTTGGTTTTTTAATGTAGAAGTAATAATGTCAGTCTTCAGAAAAAGCTACAAGTTCTTAATAACTCCTACTCTGTAAAATGTACCTGAGTTTCCAAATGTTTCATTCAAAATTAATTCAAATTTACAGCAAGGCTGCAAGTATAGTACAAAGGACTCTAGTATCCTCTTTACCTAGATTCATTATTTGTAACATCTTGTTACATTTACTTTATTATTTTCTATGTTTTTTCTAAACTATTTGACCCTTTGCCTTTTAACACCTAAGTGCATTAATACCTAACTATCTTTCCAAAATAGAAGACTATCTCTTAATATCATGACAGTGTAATTATCAAATGCAAATATTGATACAACACTTTAATCTAGAGACTTAATTCTAATTTCATCCACTGTGCACAAAATGTCCTTTATGGCAAATTTTTCCACTCCTACTCAGTAAGATCCAGTTTGGGACCACATGTGCCTTTTTAGTCTTCTTTAATCTTCAGTCTTTAGCCTTTCATAACTGAGTTTTTGGAGAGGACAGACCAGTTATTTTATAGAATTTCCCAGTTTGGTTTTTCCTTCTTGATTAGGTTCGGGTCATTTGTATTTATAGGGTCTCAATTACTTTTCTCTCATTGCCAAGACAAAATACCCGACACCCAAAATTAAGGCAGGAACTTTGAGGAGGTTTGTGGAAGTTTTAGTCCACACTCGGTTGGCTCAAGGTAGGGTGGCACATGACATAGGGTACAGTTCACAGCAGCGGAAAACAGCAAAAGTAACGACAGCACAAGGGGTGGAGGCAAGCAGCCTCTTTCCCTCCCTTACATTGTATGCAAACTACCTGCCCCAGGGCACATGTAGCACTCACACCTATAATCCCAGGATTGGACCACAGATTGATCACAAACTCTAGAAGCCCACCCCATGACTGCATGAGTCTTTGGGGGGACATCTAGACACAAACCATAACATATAGTAAGAATACTATTAGGGCCAGGGATATAGCTCAGCGGCACAAGTGCCTTCCTGGCAAGCGCAAGGTCCTAAGTTTGATTCCCAGTACAAAAAAAAAAAAAAGAATGCTATTTAACTGGTCGTATTCTTTCTCATTTACCAGAACATAATGTCTAATCACCCCATACTGGTGACATTACTCTGACCACTTGGTTAAAGAATTGCTGGGTATCTCCACTGTACATAGTTATTTTTCTTCCAAAATTAGTAAGTAATTTGTGTAAAAGATGTTTGGGGCCTATCCAAATATATTATTACTCTAATTACCTCCAGTCCCACTAGATTTAGTATCTTTTGGTGACTCTGGCCTGATTAACTACAGAGAGCCCCTTCTGGACCTCATCACAGTCCGCAAAGTTTGTACTTGTAATCCTGTGGAAAAGTTATTGGAATTCTGATGAGTTAATTCCAATCTATCACTTCCAGTGAAATGCATCGCAAGAATAAAGACACTAAGGTGTATTTGTAGTTGTGGGGAGCCAAGGGGATCCTACGGCCAGCTAGCATGATGGCTAACCAGAACAAAGACCTCCATCCCGGGCCAAACCTGGGTTCTATTAATTCATAAAGAGGGAAGTGGCTTGGGGCTGAATGACTATGAGAGTGGTGGAAAGTACATGAGTGCCGTAAGCTGGGCTGGGCAGGTGGCCTGAAATCACCTCTATAATATGCAGGGAGGATATGCAAAGAGAATAGTCTGCATAACACAATTTGAGGCAGTATCTAATGTTTTGGGGTCAGTGCTTCAGCTCTGATGTGTAATTTTTCATGCCCTGGGGAGTCATAGTCACTCTTATCTCAAGGCTTGATTCCTGACAACAGAGTGGAGGTGGCTCTCCTTCCCGCCTGGCTCACATATGCTTTATGGGAGCTATGGGTGGGGCAACACTGATCTGTTGCCTTGCTTCAAAGACTACACAAATCAGCGTGTCAGCTAGACCAATTTGCATTGCTTAAAGACAGTTCAGGGGATAAGGAAAAGTCCTGGCCTGCTATGTACATATCAATACATGAAAACAGGGCCAGGTTAGCGAAAATGGAGACAACTGCTCTTCTTTCGAGAAGAGTCATCCAGATGGTCCTTTACAGTCAATGTTTACTATTATGGCCCCCAAATGATGATTTTCTAATGTCATTCTTCTTCTATATTTACTAATTAGAATTCTACTATAAAGAGGAGCGTTCTCTTCTTTCCTCTTTTATTTATCTACTTATTGATTGTTGGCTATGGATTCTTACTTTACTCAGTGGAGTCTTCTGAGTTTTCAAAAGTACACATTAAATGTAGGAGATAAGAAGGGGCTGGGGATTTAGCTCAGCGGCAAAGCGCCTGCCTGGCATGCGCAAGGTCGTGAGTTCGGTTCCCGGTACCGGAGAAAAACCAAAAAAAAAAAAAAAAAAAAAAAAAAAAAAATGTAGGAGATAAGAAATCATAGATTTATATTAAAGCCATTATTACTTAGGCAAAGTTTATTCCGCAGGCAGCAAGAGGGAAGCTGTTAACTGAGGACCACTCATCTTAGATGCTTCTAAACAAGAGCGGTTTAACAGCCAAAGGCTCTGCAGTGAGGACTCGCTCGATAGGCAACATGAGTTATCACTACCAAGTTGTAGTGTTGCTCATCATCAGACATGATATCATATCCCAAAAATTCCATCCAAACAACCCATCTATTTCTCCACAACTAGCAAACTTGAAATGTTCTGGCAAACTCAAAAGGACATGATTTACAAATAGTAGGTAATATTTGGATCTTTCTATGAGATCTGGGTTCCAGCTTTTTAAAACAAAATACAAATGATTTCATTTTGGAGCTCACTGTGTCACATTCTCAACAAACAGCTCCTCATATCAGAAGTTAGGCATGTGTTATATACAAATATAATGGGTTCATGCATATTTATTTTGTGGTCAGAGACCACACACCCAGTGGCTATTTACAGTATTCATAATGTTCCTGATACCACAAGGAGGGTCTCAGAGCTGAAACCAAAGCTTAGGCCACACAGAGTATGGCTACAGGTCCTGCTGTGTCCAAGGAAGACATGGGTCTTGTTTGCTTCCTGTGACCGCTTGTGTATGTCATCCAAACATCCAAAAGTGTACAACTCCAAATGTAACACGTTGGGCTCTGTTATTATTTAAATGAAAAGAAGCCCTTTGAAAAGTTTTACGGCCATTATAACCTTTCCAAACAATGTTTGGAAAAGTTTTTTTAAAACTTACCAAGAAGTGTCTAGGGACCCCAGCGGAAAGTCTCTCTGTCTTCAAGTGCCAGACCAGGGGCTGCGGGGAGTTGAGCAGGAACACCACGGGCTTGTGGTGAATGTGGACTGAAGAGATGGGATTGAGGTGCAGTGTGACCTAAGAAGCAACAGAAAGAGGGAAGATCTTAGGACTGACTTTCCAACAAATCACTCAGCGCAGCACCTGGATATTTTTTCACTACTCACCACTAAGATGACCAAGTTCTAAGCTAGCTCCAGGTCTGCAAATAAGATATATCAGATCGAACTAGATGATACTGCTGATACTGGATCTTTATTTTCTACTACAATATGGTAATTTCGTACGGTTTAGCAATACTAATACCAACTAAAACATGACTCAGCTCCCCAAAGTGGAATACAGATAAATAAATAAAACACTTTTTAAATTCAAAAGTGGCAAAGACAGAATAAAAGTTACCTTCCCCTAGTACTGCTTAATCTTTCAAGTCAAATTAAAGAACAGAGTACCCTAGGGGGTCGGTTATCCCTTTAGACCTTCAGAAAAATGATCTTCTTCTCTCTCAGGTAAGCTCCAGTCTCTATAAAGTTGAGTTCTGCCAAAGAAAAGTGCTGAAAGCAAAGAGAAAGGGGCTGCCAGGGGCAGCTGCCAGTGCTGTCATCATCCCAGCTACTAAAGCGAAGGAATTTTCCAAAATGAAGCACAAGGAACACACAGAATAAACACTGATTGTATAGGGCCACCATAAACAAAAAACCTAAAAATGGAAGAAAGCTATGACTGTGGGAAGGAACACTGTGCTCAGTTCTGACAGAGGATCAAAGACTACTGTAGGTTACCATCATTATATCATCAAAGAGGAGCCAGAGAAAGTGGACTCAACAATGTTCTCTTGGAGCACATGATGCACGGTCAGCCAATGTGAACCAGAAAAGCAAAAGGTACAAAGAAATACTGCCTCGATGGTTTCATTCAACGGTCTCACACTAGCTTTCTGTTCAGAGAGGTGAGGCAAGACCTTGCAGGAACCACATAGTTAAGTAGATGGGTGCAAGTACAGAAGATTGTCACAAAGTAGTAAGAGTGGTAAAGGACGCCCTCCCCCCCCCCCACAGTTATAGCCATTCTGAGGAGTAATGGTCTGGCTCTATGATCTGACTGTAGATAATCAGAGACACACACTAAATGCTGACTATTTCAGCCTCTGTGACTGCTGGCCCACTTCAACCTCAGGATACCTCTCCCTACTTCTCAGGGACTGCCTATGTTCTCATGTCATAAATCAATAAGGTACCGATCTTTCAAAACCCATGCTTTAGGATATGGTAAGCAATCCCTAAATGTCAAGAGAATGTTTTCATCCTCTACTTTTCATATGCAGAAGTACTTTATTCTATTTGTACTTAGTACATAATAGTGTCTTGTTTGTTAACTGTTGAGTGTACATGTCTTAATTTCCAAACCAGACTGTAGGCAAAGACATCTTACATCATGGGTGTATAACATTTTGGCTTCCCTGGGCCACAAATAAAATATATAATATAGTTAATGTATACACAGACTATATTATACAGTATATTTTACAGTAACAAAAAATTTAATATTTTTATTATAATATTAAAATGAAATAACACAACAAGCCAATGTTTAATAATTAAACAAGAAAACATACATGTCTGATTAACAACAAGACACCTATCTTCATAGGCACATGCATGTGTAGGAAGATTGAATCACTGTTACCAGTAATTGTGCCTTTTACTTGCCAAGTCACACAAGTACATGTAATTCTGATACAAGCAAGTTTCGATTCAACTAACTGTGTGTGGTAGGCATGGCAGGTGGAGTTAGCACTGCACCTTGCGCTTCCCTACACAGTGTTCCCTCGTCACCTAGAGAGTTCATGCTCAAGCACCACACAACTGAGTTCAGAAAATATCACCACAAATCTCATAATAATGTTAAAAGCTTAAGATCTTGTGGAACTGTACTACTAGCTGTCCAGGGTTACGGGTTCGATTTGCCTGCTTTACATTTAATACTGTGCTTACCATAGCATGGAAAAAAAATCACAGCAAATTCATAAATTTATGGTACCTAAAAGGTTAACAAAAAGGTTTAAGATATGCTCCAACTGACTTAGCTAGCTAATCTGCAGAAAAAATACGAGAACATAAGAAAGACTCAAACTGTCATGAGCTATTTGTGCACACAGTTGGGATCATTCTTATACATGACATACGCATAATGCTAAATCAAAGTACCAAGTGAACTGTGATGTCAAATACAGTTACAGCAAAATAATCTATTCCTTGCTTGTACAGTCACACAATGCACTGGAGATGCCATCTGCATCCAGAAATAAGTGGAGTGATCATCACTGAAAACGAGAGAAGCAGTAGAAACAGAGCAGAGGCAAAGACAGAAACTGCAGCATTAAGTGAGTAAAAGGATGCATACTGTGAAGAGCACATACCACAAAGAGTGAAGAAAAGAGAAAACCATTACTTGGGCAAGAGTATCTGACAACTGCAGAACAACTCTCTGACTCACGAATAGCGTATGCCAGTAAAAGGTCTCCTTATGGATTCATTCCAAAACTGTTTATTGGGCACCAAAATAGCACAAAGAATAGCAGTGTGTATCTGCAGGTGTATACCAATAACATGTTTGTATGTTTGTGTTGCATGTTCTTCTGACGACTTTCTTTTCAGTCCCTAGGCATACGATTCTTAAAGCTCTTAGAGACACTAAAGTCTTGCTCAAGAGGTACGCTACAAGATAATTAAATACATATCTCAAATGAATGCAAACTTTTTTTAAAAAGCTTATGAAATAAGATGTATGAAACAGATACTGGTTCTCAGGTCCAAAATTTCCCAGATGGTCCACAGTGTCAAGGCCTGGCTCAGACAACCGAGGAAAGATTTCTAGGAGTTTCAGCTCTCTGAGCTTTCCTGGAATCAGCTCTCTTCAATATGTGGCAGTGTCTGGCCAAGATGAATCTCCTGACTCTGGCACATAGGTCCCAGGCAAAGCCCCAAAAGCCATTTGGCAAAGAATAATTCACACTACGATTGGGAAATTAAAAGAAAAATACGCAACACTTTTTTAGAAAGATCATTTGGCAGGGACAAAGAGTCCTGTGAGCACAGTCTCACCTAATCCCCCAGCAGTCTTCCTCCTCTATACAGTACTTCCTCTACTTACACATACCTTGCCAAAGGCGAGACAGAGAAACAACTAAAAACAATCAACAAAAGAATGAAGGTACAAAAGCTCCCAAGAATGTGAGAACATACCTGGAATATCTCAAAGGCTAAGGTGCCTAACTTCTCCCAGGCTGGAAAAAAGAAAAATGAAAAGAAAATCCTCTTCAGGAACAATTACAGCTCAGGAGTAGATGATAGGATCATAGAGCATCCTGCTGAGGTTTCTCCATGGTTAGATTTTTCAGAGATCATGGCCTAAAGACGAGAGCTGAGGCAGACTGCACCAAAGAAATATCACATGAAGTAGTGATACAAACGGTATCCACCAACTTCTTGCTTAGAAACCCAAACAGTGGCTTAAAGAGTTGACCCTCAATCCTTCATCAGATTTATACATAAAAATACATTTAATAGCTTAATCTGGAGCCTTCAAAAGCAAGGAAGATAGGGGTGACATGAGCTAAAAAGGGGTGTACCACACAGGAAGGGACCACCAGTCTCTAAATCAATGGTTTTGTTATCTTTGGGAGTCATAGAGCATTTGAGAACTCAGTGCAATATGAACCCTCTCTTCATATACAGACATACACAAAAAACCCCACATTACATAAAATTTTATAGACAGTGTCAAGAAAATACATTTACTTCAGGTCCCATGAACTCCAGGCTAAGCATCCATTTGCTCAGATTAAGCAACCAATTGTAAAGGGCTGGGAAGTTCTAATGGTAGAAATAGAAACAAAATGGTTCCATTTAATTAAACTAGAAACTCCATTTAATTAAACTAGAAAGCATACTCTGGTCTTGAGATGCCATCCTTCTGGGGAAAGCACTTAACAGATGACAACTCAGAACTACCCACCTGGGGTTTCTGTGGCCTATTCAAACCCATCATTTGACCACATACTGGTCCGTGAAGCCCAGCCGAAGACTTCCTGCTCTAATCACGTTTGTCTTAAACTACGCTGAATGCTCAGTCTTCCCGAGGATGTGAGAAAGTGCAAGCTGTCACATCTCACATGGAGCTACTGTCCCTCACACCCACAGCTCCTTTGCCCTAAAAGGAATGCAAACTGGTCTAATCAGTTCTACAACATCTATTTATACTAGGTCTTCTGAGATTACCTATATACCTCAACTAACATACTAGCTGTAAATTTATAAAGAAATTCAAAGTAAACCTTTTCTGAGTGTTTTTCTGGATACAACTGAATACAGCGTCGTCCAGAATCAAGGGTGCTCTGGGGAACATTAGGCCTCAGAATGGAAAGACAACATTCCTGTCTCTCATTTGGGAAGCATGTCCTTTCTCATACTATCACCAGAAAATAATACGAACAATATTCTCTGGACCTTTTCACGGTGAAGGCTTCTTAGTTTTCCAAGAATTATTAGGAAAAACCATATATATAGTTTATACAGTTTCAAATTCTCAAATCACTGCATGAAAATGAATTATGTACTTCCAGGAAGGGGGAAAAAACCCTACTCTCTTTAGGAAAATATCCCGTATAATTTTTTTAAATTTCCCACAATTCATAGTCCAGATGCAAGACATTCCTGACATAGAGATTTTAAAAGATTTCTTAATAGCAAGGCCCCTACTCCCGGGGTTTGTTAAAACAAACAAAAGCAAAGTGAGCAAAACAACTGATATGAGAGTCTAACAGTTATCCAATTTTGCTAATGTGTTAGTGAGGTTTCGACATTTCTGATTCTTAGAACAGCCCCTGTGGACCCATGAAGCAAAGAAGGCATCCAAAACACTACCAGAGAGACTTCTACTATCTAAAACAAGACCAAATAATGCTCTGAAATGGACGAGCCAATGATCCGTTTACACTAAGATAAAAAAAGAACTCCAACAGCGTGCCTATAACCAAGAGCCATAAAATCACAGGCTGATCTGTATATAGCCATCAT